ATTACATATTACCTCCTTCAAAAAAGACTTGAAATACGGTGGAAAATATAGTTTAGTTTATAGTTTATTAGCTTCGCCGACAAGCAGGGACACCGCAACAGCTTGCATCAATTACTGCAGGCCCAGTAAACCCACCCATCCTAGCCCAGGGGAGGACATCCATCGCACAGTAATCTCGTGCATGCGTGGTGAATTAACGTCTCCTAACCCCAACCCTGCAGGAGACGGGACCTCCATTTGTTTGTCCCTATCCGAGAAGACTAGACTATCTAACCATTTCTTGATGTTATAGAAAGGTAGCATATTCTTCTCAATTATTTTAAGACCTTGAGTGTTGGTCCGGCCTTGAGCTAACTGGGAAGCGGTCGAGTACGCCAATAGATTCTAGTCGAGATATTTTTCCTTTGCTCAGTGCGGTGGTAGTTCTGATTTCTTGAATTTGATATAACCATGATGATAATATGGAACCTCGATCGAACTACAATGCTCATTTTTGCTTGTCCTGTTAGGTGCGACTGAGGTCACTTTGCTGAGCGGGTTTCGTGATTACAAGAGTACATTGTTTAAAACCAGTTTTTGTCTTTTTATTTCATTTTCAGGTGAATGTAAATTGTCTTAAAAAATTCCTGTATTTTTGATTCACGATTATCGGAAAGTAGAGCTCATTTTTCTCAGAGAATTAAAAGAGGATTTTTCTAAGAATTTAACAGTTGGAGAGCTTACTCGAGAGCCAGTTTCAGTACTCATTCTAGCGACGAAAACGTTCACCTCTACTTAGAAGGAGAAATCACCTACGGAAATTGTGAATCCCATCACATGGATAGTACAGAAAAAGCAAGAGATCGGGATGAAGAGATGAGGAAATACCAAAAAGTTCTGTGTATCAAGTTTGCAGGTTTTTCCATAATTCAGAGTGGTTTCAAAAGTCGCGCACTGTGTTATAGCAAGAATTGTCCCACTTCATCTGATGAAGAAAACGGTCCGGTCACAAAAACTCAAGAGGGAAAAGAAAACAGTGAAGGCACCCAAGTCGACTCAATATTAGGCAAACTCAGCACTGTCCATTCTCCGATGCCAGTGATTCCGAAGCGCGGATGCATGAATTTTTCCAGTTATATCGTACTGATAACAAAACTACATGATCTTCAAGATAAAGGGAATTTTGTGGCACATGACCAAATAATACGAGAACAGTTAGAAAGAAAGTCGCCCGAAGATGTTGACATGGAAGTAAGTTTACAAATTGAGCGCGCAATGGCCTTTTATTTCCAGAACAATGTCAAAGATGCCAAAAGAATACTAAAATTTGTACTGAAACTGGAGCCGCAGTTGAAAAACCCGGGGATTCTAACTGGACGAGCCTTGAATCTTTTGACAGCGGTGTACAAGCGTCAAAGCAAATTTGGAAATGCCATGAGATGCGTCCAAGAGGCACAAATGGCTCTTGAACTTCAGGATTCTCGTGAAGATAAAGCGGAATTGTATCATAGTTATGGCGCACTGCTTAACTCTTTACCTCCTGCGAATATATCTCGGGACACTCGAAAAACTAAAGCTTACAAATCTTATGAGCTAGCATGTCAGTACACCGTAAACAACCGAGAATACATTAACGTCAAAATGGCAGCTCTGCTCCTAAAGTCCTGCTCTCAGGCAGCGAACAACAACGCCCACATCTGTAAGGAGGACGTTATGAAAGCAAAAAGGCACCTTGATTTAATTGAAGTTAGAACGGCTGATGGCAACATGGCGTTAGGGACACAAATTAAGCATCTTCTTTTGCGGTCTGATCAGTACTGCTTTGAACAAAACATTGCTATGGCCATTGAAAAGGCTGAAGAAGCGAGGGAACTTATCCACAGATATCGATTTGAACTGGAACGTGATTCTGCCGAGAAGCGCATTAGCCGCTTGTCTGATATGCGAAGGCAAGAAAAAAGAGAATGGGTTTGTAGCGAATGGTGTTCAAGTAGTGAATATCAACCTGATAGCGAGGGTGACAGCTCATGTCTGGAGTAATAAACACCAGCAATGTCGAGACCACTGCTGAGAGAGCGCGGGAATCAGTTTGGCTACCGGTTGTAGTTTTTGCTTTCATTGATTTTTCACTAGTTTTTTAATTCACTTTAATTCACTTTAATTCTTAATTGATGATATTTTTCTATCACTATCATTGTAAAGCGCCGCTGGATCTTTGAGAAACGTTGCGTTATATAAGCTCTGTATCGTATTTTATTGTATTGTATTGTATTGTATTGTATTGTATTGTATTGTACCGGTTAATTTCTCTCTGTTACCGTGAACAGAAGTGTTAAAAATGATCATTTGAAAGGTTATTGATCAAATTTAATTGTTCCAGATGATTTATGGGCTAAAGTTAAAAATAATAGAGAAAAGAAACATGGCGAATTATAGTACAGACGAACCTCCGGAAGAAAAAATCATTTTCTTGAAAAATGCGTTAGAACCAAAATATCAAACTACTGCTCAGTTGCTGGGAGAGCATGCGAAACTCTCCTCAAGCCGACGAAAACGCTTTTGTCACAATATCGGTCAGGAATCACATCACATGCCTTATCCTCTTCGGGCGAACAATGATGAAGGGATCATATCTTTGAATCAGAACCGTCTCAAACATGAACTCGTGATATAAAAATAATTCAGTTTCTAATTGTTTTGGGAAAATGTGTCTTGCATCAGCAAACTATCCGAGGAATCCCCAGCGTCACTTTGACCGAATAGAATTAAAGTCACGCAACGATCTGAGGGTATACGCTATTGTTTGATTTTAAAACTACCAAAAAAAAAACAAAAAACAAAGAGATATAAATGTAGAGGTTTCATTGTTATAAATTACAAGAAAAGCAAAGTAAATTCTTAAATCCCCGGGTTAACCAATAAAAAAAGTTCGAAAAAAGTCCCATCGAAGCCAATTGAACTCGTTCACGCATCGTAGATGCCAGGAAACTTTTCTGTCATCTGTGATGGTTGACAAACCTCCAGCCAGGAAAAATGAGTTTGCAAAGGTTTAATAGAGAATGATGAGGGTAGTACCGTTGAAATCCCTGAAATAGTCCGTTAAAATAGAAAAATGCGTTTTACTGTTTCATTCTACATGCATCGAGTTACTTCTTGCGTGACTACTACGAAGGTAACCCATCGAGTAACGTTTGGCAACTTTCCTAAAACGTCTGCCTTAATGCATTAAAACTGATTTTAAATCAATTACAGTTTCACAATGAACTCGTGATAAAGTAGTGACGGATTCCATTTCAAAATGACTGGTAGTAATGAGTTTCGAATCATGCCTAAAACTTGGGGAATCCCCTGGGTTACGCTTGTATAGAAGTTGATACGCACATGGAATACACTCAAATATATATCCCTTGTCATTGAAAAACTCTTATAATTTAAAAAGACATGATTTTAAAATTCATATCCATGGAATGTATTTTTAATTTAGGCGAGAGCTTTACTTGTTGTTCTTTTTAATTCCGGGATTTTCCCAGAAATCAGGAATCCAAAATAAATTCCGTCACATGAGTGGTCATATGACTAGTTTCGGTGAATGGGTGCGTAGTAATTTCGTAATACGATATACCTTCCTTCTTTTCCATGAAACATCGTGTAGCATTACCGCGTTGTATAAAGTTCCGTTACACGGGACATTACAACATCAATGTATATGCATCGGAGCAAGAAACCACAAGGAAAATACTCAGTACAGCGCGTTAAGCAAGATTTTCCAGCGGGTAGATTTATAAGGTGAGAAGACTGTACAGACGAAAGTCCAGAGAGGATTTGATTTATCGGGATCACAATTAGTGCAACATTTGAGTTTTGTGGAATCGAGTCCTCCATTGACATGTTTTCTCTGCAAACTATCCCATAGCACTTCATCTCAAGTGTAATTTTTGTTTAAAAATCCAGTCAAAGATACGCTAAAAATGAAAAGCACATCCATTGAATCCGTGGTGAATTACGATGCAATTTCGATACTTGGCCTCGGCCGTCAAGCGCATGCTAGTTTTCATTCACCATAAATTCTTCTAAGTTTAAATTTCCTTTTATGAAAGAAAAGCTCAGTATTTATTATAAGAGAAAGCCAAAAAGCAGAAGGATTATTCTCTGTTCTTTTAGAATGACTAGTTCTGTAATAAGTCCAAAATATGTTGTCATGTTGTCGAGCAAGAGAAAGAAGCTGCTATTTCGGTGTTCAAGTTCGAATTAATATAAATTCCATATGAAATATACACTAGCAGTAGGCTCTCTGTCATCTATGTTTGCATTCACTTGTACTGACTTTAAAAGCAAACATACGCTGTAGTGCATTTGAATACGGAAATCCAAAAAGTCCGGAATGAAGTGCCTACAAGGGAAAGAACCTTTTCCATCTGGTAAAAACAGAGCATCTTTTAAAAACATAATTGGTATCATAGATATCCTTGTTTTGTTTCAATACAAAAAGTCGAAGGGGCTGTGTGTTAACTGATATCTGAAGATGATTATTTAGTATATTATCTGAAGCTGACCGAAATACGTGCTTGGACACGCAGTATTAAATTAAATTTTGTTTCCGGTTGTCACAAGGTCACTTTCCTGTCACGCTATCGAGTCTTTTCGTGAGGCCGATCCTCCGAAAAGCGACTGGTTATTAAACGTAGTAGTGGAAAGAGTGGAAAGAGTTTTTGCGATGTCCTTTATTTTTTTTTTTCCGTTAAAATTTTAACTCTTTCCCGCCAACAGAAGAAAAAAAATTTTCCTCTTCAATTTCATATTCAAAATCAAAACGTCCTTTACTTGTTGAGAACGATTGTGACTAGTCTACCACAAACTGCAAAGCGCAACAAATTGCACATTTAACCAGAGGAGCAATGAGCTCTACTATTGTTCTCCATCAACCTACTATTTAATGAGCTCTACTATAATTGTTCTTCATCAACCTACTAAATTTAACCTTCTAAAGTTAACAAGGCCTCCTTTATTTCCCACTGCGTAGTAAAATTGCATGTATCACTCCATCCTCTTCTATACAGTATAACTGGTACCACCCATAATTATTAGCAGAGATAAAGAGAAGTGTGTCATCAACAGATAGTATCTTCAAGAAAGAGGTGTGACAATGGGAAGTTGCTGCTGCACTGCACCGCAGCACCAACCTCCTGAACATCATCAAAAACCACTGGTACGAATGTGTTCATCTGGTAACCACTTTCCCAACTTTGCTGATATTGGAGATAAAGTTGTCCTTTTTGTTGATTTCGGTAAAAACTTTAAGCCACTCCCTCGCATAAATCAGTATCGTTCTTTGGGTGGAGCTACTGCAGGATTGGTGTGGCCTGATATGCGTCACCATGGTGAGGAGGATACACAGTATGAGGTGAGACTTAAGCTGTCTTTGTCAAATTTGGTGTTCTTGATTGCAACAAAAATTTTGATACAAGTGGGAGGTGGCTTTCCAATGAGATTCCAATCAATATACCCACAATCATGGTGGGTATATACCACCAATCCAACAACTATCAACAGCTTCTTTTGTGGATGAGATGTTAAATGGTGTTTTATAATCTCATATGCCATATGCCATATGCCATGAACCAATATTTTCTATGACATGTGAATGTCAATGATAAATTTTTTTTCATGATTTCAAGTTTAAGATTTTACTGCATGTTAGCTAATGAGGGAAAAACCAAAGTCAACTCTCACTTATTGATATCAAGAGCAAATTATCCAATTGTTTTAGTTTAAGTCTACTAGTTTTTCAAACCTTAACAACAAGGCAGGCCCATGTTTTCATCTTCTTAGATCACAGTTACTCAGTGATGGACTACACGCTTAACTCGCTATCCACCGACATGAGCAAAACATTTGTGACAGATGAACTGTAGGGGGACTGAACATTAACTGGTCAAGCGGAGTCTCGGCGATAGATCATTTAAAATGCATGTTCGGTTGAACTTTCAGACAGTGTGATGTGCGATAACTGGCGGCGGTTACGCTACCCTTTAGAGCGGCATTGCCGCACAACTTAAGGTGGCTTTTCGCTTGCTAAGCATTAAACTAATTCTGATCCTATTTATGAAAAAATCTGATTTGTGAAAAGATAGGCTCTTTTCTCTTTAACCAAAGAAACTGAGATGAGCCAGCCTGTTCTATCGATGGTTGCCCCACCTGCATCATTATTATCATCAGCATTATTATAATAATTTTGTTACCCTTTTATTTTAAAATTTGTGGCTCACTCTGCTCACCATATGCTGCTCACTGGTAAAGGGATTCTTAAAATTTTGTTGCAGATTAAGTTTGGTGGACTCCAAGCTTTCTTGAAAAGGATAAAACCAAAAGATGAAGATTGTACAAGTTACCGGTCAGAAATAAAACTTTTAATGACAGATGAAGTTCTGAAAGAGCCTGGTGGGTTGGTGAAATTTATTATACCATACTGCGACAGTGAGGGAAGACCTTTAGGCGAAGTTACTGAAAAAGATCCTGAATATGATGAAAGTCACAGAGTTTACAATCGTAAGTATACAATAGCTGTCAAAGAATTTTAGGGAATGCTGTTATTACAAGTGTAGCTTGAGTATCAGGCTTTTCTTAGAAGGGGAGAGGAGAGGGGGAGAGAGAGGGAAAGAAAATCCTGTCCTCTTCTCCTGACCCCCCCCCTTAAGAGGATGGGCTGATACTCAGGTTACAAGTATAGTGATGAGGCTTGAAGGAACCTGTTTTCTCAATGAAGATAGTTTTCCTTGTTCCTACTGAACAATGGCAGCCTTTCCAGCTACATGGAACTCTTAGAGATGAAAGAGGTAGTTTAGATTTAAGCTGTGGCAGCTTCTGGTAGTATGAGTTGTGGTAACTTTGTTGGCGTCCTTCTGTCTCGGGAGACAATGGAGTTGNGCTACCGTCGCTCCTGGTGTGCAGGTAGATGCCCTCTTCGGATTGGCTGAAGGCATAGCGCAGCAGCAGGGAGAACAGGATGCCAAAAAGTGTCGGCGCAAGGACACACCCTTGTTTGACGCCGCTCTTGATGGGGAAGGGGTCCGAGGAGGAGCCATCGTACTGGACAGTACCTTTCATTTCCTTGTGGAAGGAGGTGATCAACCTCAGGAGCTTGGGGGGGCATCCAATCCTGTGCAGGAGTGTGAACAAACCTGACCTGCTGACCAGGTCGAACGCTTTGGTCAGGTCTATGAAAGCGATGTACAGGGGGCGTCTCTGCTCACGGCATTTCTCTTGTAGCTGCCTCAAAGAGAAGATCATGTCGATCGTGGACCTTTCGGCTCGAAATCCGCACTGTGATTCTGGGTACACACGCTCTGCCAGTGACTGCAGTCTGTTCAACACGACGCGGGCAAAGGTCTTGCCGACGATGCTGAGGAGGGATATTCCGCGATAGTTATTGCAATCGCTGCGATCACCTTTGTTTTTGTAGAGCGTGATGATGTTGGCGTCACGCATGTCCTGAGGCACACTTCCTTCCTCCCAGCATTGTAGCAGAAGTTCGTGGAGATGTTCGAGAAGACTGGTCTCTTTGCCTGCTTTTATGACCTCTGGCGGAATGCCATCGTTGCCTGGGGCTTTGCCGCTGGCTAGGGAGTCTATGGCCTTACTGAGCTCCTCGATAGTGGGTGGGTCATCAAGCTCTTCCATGACTGGCAGGGGGCTCGTGTTCTCCACTGCTGTGTCAGTCACGACGGTCTCCCTGGAGTACAGCTCCTGGTAATGTTCCGCCCATCTCGCCATTTGCTTTGCACGGTCTGTGATGAATTCGCCAGTGGATGACTTGAGAGGGGCAGTCTTGATTGCGCATGGGCCGAAGGCTTTCTTCGTTCCCTCATACATGGCACGAATGTTGCCGCAGTCAGCCGATGTCTGGATGCCTTGACATAGGTTCTGCCAGTAGTTGTTGGCGCACTGTCTAGCAATCTTTTTAATGGCCACAATGTAATAAAACTGTAAATTATGAAATTTTTAGATGCAATATGGGATGAATTAATACAACACAATGAGGAAATAAGAAATGACATTCGACGTCGCACATCAACAAGACTGGTTGAAGGGACATATGGTTCCATGGCACAACAAAGAGTCAGGGAATCTGTAGTTAGACAGGGATCAATGGATCAAGTGGATGCTGGAGCTGCAACAAGTGGTAGTCGAGAGCATTTAACTGCAACAGACGAACAGGACCCTCTGCTAGAGGTGAATATCAGAAATTCTTTGTATGTTCTCTTAATTATGTTGTACCCCAAAAGTCTCACAAGTGTTTTTCTTCAGATATTTTCTTCACAATAAGTCTTGTAAATTCCCATGTAAGTTCTTTTGACATATAAGCTATCAGAACATCCTTTCCCTGATCTGACATCACAAAAGAAAACTTAGTGAATTAATAGAGTCATCATTCTCTTTCCCTTTTCAAAATCTGATTCACATACCTCAACCATATTTCATGTTTGGATATAATGTCCCATTAGTAAGAAAGTTACAGACCAATTTAAGATGAAGTCAGCATCATTACACTATATCTTTCTAAAAACCTAATTATCAATTCCCTTTGTTTACATAGCAGTCACCCGGTGCCAAACGTTACTGGCCAGATTCCTGGGAGATGTCTTGTTGGCGCCCTTGCTGTGATTCAATCCTACGTTCAGAAAACTGGTTTACAAGGCTCTTGGCCATGTTTTTTGTGGCACCATTGACCAATGTGACTGGTTTGAGTCTGTACTATCAACTGTACCTGGTTGAAATATTTCACCTAAAATTTAAAACAAAGCTGGGACACTATTTATTTATGGTACGTTTAAAAAAGCATAGTGTCTTGCATTAGATCAAGGAGAACTTGTTCTGCAGACACCAACAAAATGTAGTTCCCTTCCTTTTTTCATTTAATTTTAACTGCAACACACCTAACTTCTTTTGATTGTAATTCTAGGTTTGTTTTAATAGTGGCTGTGATTATGGTTATCATGTATACCTTTATTATTATATGGCTGTGTCTCACAAGGACTGGGAACTATTGAATTCACGAATTTGATTGGCTGAAATTCAATAATGAAAGCAGTCTAGATTTTCCCATCTAGACCGGCATCTAGACCGGTCTAAAAAAAAAGGTACAAAGAATATAAAAAATTGGCATTTAAGACACAGCCAAGCTGTTCTTAACTGAGCTATGTCGGTCTGAATGGGAGAATCTTGACCTCTGTCGCTGGTACAGACCTCACTGCATTCAGTCTGTACTGACGACAGAGGTCAAGATTCTCCCATACAGACCTCCCGCTCGGTTAATAAGAACCACTCAAAATACATAGTGATCACAATACCCATATTCTAGGTACAGGCCAGGTGTACATGAAAATTCTGTGTAATGAACCCTTTAACCGCCAGAAGTGATTAAAATGTAACTTCTCCCTATAATATCCATACATCATCTATCATACAGGTAATAAGAATACTCAAATTTATCAGGTAGTTCTTATGTTGGTCTAAAAACAAATTCTCATCACTAATTTGCAACCAGCTTAAGTGGGGAATAAACAATCAGATCTTGGGAGTTAAAGAGTCAAGTGCCAAAATTAATCATGTGTACATGGTTGTAATTTACCCAATTTTTATGGGTATGTACGTGGTAAACATTTATTCAATGTACTGCACATGTCACATTGCAAATTACAGAAATCATGTGATTACCAAGGCAACAAAGCAAATAAAGTGTATTCCTAATGGGATTCATGTAAAAAACTTTTTATAATATTTGTTTTTTTTTTTTTTTTAGTTCCTGGCATTAGGTTTTTAAGTGTCACCTATAAAAGAGGTCTTAAAGTGGTCAGCATTGTCTTAGCAAGGTTTTCAGGATTTAGGTTGTGTATATATATCTTATTGACCAAGCACGAGGGCCGTACTGGGAGAATATTGGTCCAAGGTCTTGACAGTACGGACCAAGCGCAGCAAGGTCCGTACAAAAAAGACTGAGGGCCAATATTCTTCTAGTGCGGTCCCGAGCAAGCTTGGTTAAAAAGAGATTTATTATACGACTGAAGTTCAAAGGGACACAAGTGCGGTATCATTTGGGACCATTCGGGACAGTGCCCGTTCCAGTACTAAGAGAATATTGACTGGCAATAGAGCATTTTGATTGGTTGATTTTAGTTATTGGCCCTCTGACTGCCTGAGTCGTGTAATTAAACTTTTAATGAACCCATTTTTAAAGAGTGACATTGTTGTTCATATCTTTTTTATCTCGTAGCCACTGATTGTTATGATGATGCTATGTTTTTTTGCCCAATGGAGATTTGATCATGGCTGCTACACATTGGCCAACACAGAAGTGATTGTTTTGAATGGAGCTGCTATCTTAGCTTACATTCTACTTTTCTGGTATTGTTTGTGGGGAATTATCCAAAGAACACCTTGTATGGGGGTATGTGGACTTCAAAAAATTCATCAACACTTTAACTACCATGACTGATCAAGACAGAATTTCTCTTAACAACATCAGTAGCATCAAGCAAACAAGTGTATGTCAACAAGGGGATTAGTAGTTGATCCAGTGCCAGATTCTCCAAATGCACACTATAAGAATAAAAAGGCAGACAGCAAGGAGAATCACTAACGAGATCCTCGTGGTGAAAAGATTAAGATTTCAATGTAGATGAAATTTAAAGTTGGGGTTATTCATTAATGTAAAGAGGCCTAGGAGATGACTTTTTTTATGGGTTCTTTTAGCTAGGTTTGATTTTGCAGCCCTCCCTTATCAGGTCTTTGTTCATCCCCAAGAGCAAGAGTAAGGGCAACCATACAGATGCTGGTTCTCAAGTGTTAACCAAGCTAGCCAAATCATTTTTAAAATCTATTAGGAATCACAAAGCTCATATCTTAAAAAGTGTTACATTTTTTACCATATTTATATCATTATCTAAATCCCTCTTAGTTTCCTTTACCAGAAAAATAGTTTTCCTTCAATTTGCCTTTTTTAGCTTTTCATGATTGTGCCTTTGGCTGTCATGTACATTCTTGCAAACATCACATTTCAAATGGCTGTGAAGAATTCAACAGATGACTTGAACTGTACAGCTTGTTGGAATCATACAAACCACCTGTCAAACCGCATTAAATATTTTAATGCATTTGGGCTGATGCACTGGTACTACAATCCTGTCTTGTGGGTGCTTATTTTGTGCTTGTGTCAAGCAGTCTCTCATAGCTTTGAGCGTAAGTGGAATAATAACTTAGGTAGCCTGAGAGTAGGCCCCATTGATACTTATAGCATGTCAAGTGGCAAAAACATGTTCATGCCAGCCCTCCTTCGCTCGTTAGCTTTTAGCTATCTCCTGGCTTCCCTAGTCATGCCACAGCACCAGTTAGAATCTGCTTACTGGCCTCTATTTAATTTGTGGCAGGTCTAAATTGGTAGTGTTCATTATTTCATTTACAGCATCCTTGAAATAACAAAAACAAAGGAGTTTTTAGTTTGAAATTGAGAAAGGGCTTGACTATTCAAAACCTGCTCCTTCTTACAAAGAATTATGAGAGGGTAAATGAGTACCCTAGAACAGTTGTAATTTGGGTAACAAACTTAGCTCATTTGGAAAAGTGCAATAGTTAAGTATTATTCCCATTGACAATAATAGGTCAATTTTTAAAAGTTTTAAATCAACTCTATTTCCAACAGCCAAGATTCCACCACGTGTTAATCAGACTAACCACTGGATGAGTTGAGATATAATGTGTAAGACTTATGGTTATCCCAAGGTATTGATGATTTTCCTGGCACAAGCTATCTTTGGAACCATTGATGAGGTAATTGCACTTGGATAACCTTGTTGCAATTCTTCTGGAGGGGTGCTACCCTACAGAAAAGAAAATAATTTTTTTGGTGGTTTTCAAGCCAATGGAGGGAAGTGGTAGCTGAACACAATGCATAAGTCACACAAAAGGGGAGCACAATGCATAAGTCACACACAATGCATAAAGTCACACACAATGGAAGCACAATGCATGTCACACACAATGCATAAGTCACACACAATGCATAAGTCACACACAATGCATAAGTCACACACAATGCATAAGTCACACACAAGGGGAGCACAATGCATAAGTCAAACACAATGCATAAGTCACACACAAGGGGAGCACAAAAAAAAAGACACTCAACCCTGCAATTGTCTCTGCTTGCCTGAAAAATGCAAACAGATTCCATCCTGCTGAATGGATAAAGACATTGTAAAGCTTGATCACAGTTTATCACCCAGTAACTTGACACTACAACCCAGTCAACTGAACTAAAATACAACCTTACAAGCAGTCTAAAAGAGCACTCAGGGCCATTCAGCCTTTGTTTCTCACTCTAACTAGAATTAATTATCTAACAGCTTCTGGCATCCCCCAGGCTTCTTCCCCTGTTGATACTGCGAGTTTGTTTCACTCTTGGGTACAGTCCAAAGGAATGGAAAGTATTGAAGATATTGGTTAAAAAGTCATTACAATATGGTAAGAATTTGTTAACCATTCTGAAAAATAATTAGTAAAGAGACTCAACAATTCATTTGAAAAATCTCAAATTTTGAGATTTAATTTTGCTACCTTCATTCATGCTCAGTGGCAGATCCAGAGGAAGGGTCCAGCCAGGGAGTCTGGATTCCCCTTCCAATATCCCTGCCTGACCCAAATTTTCTTGGAATAACAAGATCACATACATGTATTAATTCCCAACAAGCTGTGAACCCATGAGTAAAGGGGTGGGGAGGTGGGTCATGGGTTGATGTAGTGGTACTTGAAGATAACATTTGTGGGTTTTTTCAACAAACCCTCCCTCCCCTCTTTTGAAAATTTGTTGTTCCATCCCTGCCCACGCATGTCATCTTGACCAAAAATTGATCATGTGATGTGACAAATAAACGTAAATGAAAGGTTATTTTCAATTCAACAGGGGACCCAGCATTGGACTACATTGGCACAGGTGGGGCAAGCTCTCTTCCTAAAGATTCAGTGATACCTGGTAGGTATACAAAATATGTGGAACAATGAAAACTGCCTAAGAGTTTTCCACTAAATCAAATGTCACCCTTTGATATCAATAACACATCAAATTGAAATGCGGTGAGAACAATAACAAAGAGAAAATGTACCTGTAATCTAAACTGGAGAATTTAACTTTTTTGCACAATGCTGCGGTAGCAAGCAAAGCTCTCTTAATAAGAGGTGATGTACAAAGTACATCTCAAAATTAACTACAGTAACTCTTTCTAATTGGTTAAGCACTGGCTATGATATGCATATGTCTCCGAAATGATGTAAGTTAAAGAAAAACTTATACTATAATAATCCCTCCACAGCTATAAGGTTTCTTATGAGTCCTCATGCCAAAGAATACCATGAAATGGTTCCCCACCTCTTACTTATTACAGTCAACCCCGTAAAAGGAATTAAAATTCGTCAAAGATGTACTTTACAGTGTACAGTAAAGTTATACAGTTTACTTGTACCATATGTTTCTTCTTCTAATTTTAATAAGACAACTTCTTTTTCTATTCTTCCCAAAAGTATATGCTTTTCTCCCTAAATTGCCTGGTTTTTTTTTTTTTTTTCACTCTTTGCAGAAGTCTCATTGTCTACAACTGGGACAAGTGGTGAAGCTCTGGAGAACTTTGATAACATTGGTTACAACATAAGTAAGAATGAGTTATTTATAGTAAAATTATTAGAATATTCAACTGTTTAAGAATCACCCTAACTGCAAAATAATAGGATATTTGGAACAAAACTTTTGAAGTTCACTTTACAGTCAAGAAGTGCAGTGCTTTTGCAGGAAAATCATGAACTAGAGGGCTTCAGTCCTTTAGTAATTCAACTGAGAGTTCTAAATTGAGACAGTGGTATTCTTCGAAGGTAAATAAGAGCTAAAAAGGTAAAATTATGTTTAAATGAACTCCTCATCAGTTAAGCAACCTTCCCACCAGACTGTAAAAATTCCAACCCGAGGAATGCTGATACTGACTTGTGTGAGCATTGAATGTACTACCCACAATGATAACTGAGAAAACATTTCAATGAAACTATCTACACTTATGCTAGTATTTTCGCTATTAGAGCACGACCATTAGTCAATTTCTGACAAACAAGATTTCTTTTTTTAAAAAAAGTTTTAGTATGTGACTCTATACTGTGCACTAAAGATGAAATACAGTGCACTAGAACTGTATCAATGAATTTAGACTTTTTAAATTCTTGTAACAGGGAAACTAAAGAAAAGGTTACAAGAGATGGAGTCCACACTTACTGACAGACAACGCAAAATACTAACTGACCCCCGCACAATCCATTACAGTGCTGATGACTGGCTAAAACACTATATTGTGGTAAGGCACTATGTTGCAAAGTATGAATTACAAGTGCACGCATATGGCCCATTTCGATCAGGAAGAGATAACAGGGATGCTCCATATGACAATAATCGAATGGAGAGAGACTTTCCCCTTACTAAGTACAGCAGCTTTAGAAATTTCTTGCAACAGGTCCGTTTTCACCTCTGGTTGATGGAGGATGAGTTCATAACAAAAAGAGCTATATCAGCATGTTGTGAAAAAGAAATTTAATCAGTCATTTCAGATTGAGTCTGATCACACTTTGGTATGGTACCTGGATAGTATTTTAGTTCACTTTATGGGGAAATTTCTTTCTGAACGTCTGCTTTGAAGTATTTCAACTGATAGTTAGATTGTTTTTAACTTAGAAGAGTAAAAAGGATTTTTATGGGAACCCTATAATTTTATACTTGTTGTGGATCTAGACATCAAATTTGATGAAAATCTTTCTTATCATCACAACATAAAATCTAACAAAATAATGATCATAGTAGAAATCTTATTGAGATGAAAGAATATAGTGCTATATATATAAACTAGCTAAATTTCCTTAGTATGTTTCCAGTGTTGAAATTCTAAAAAACTTTCATCTTCCATTTTAAGTTCATTGCAACTTGACAATGCAAATTCAGTCTAAGCAATTTTAGAGCATAGTATGCATCATCTCATTGGTCACTTCAGTTTCCCTGCAGATGCTCTATCAGGTATTATAGTTCACCACTAAATTTTCTCCAGTTCTTATTGGTTTAAATCGATCACGTGGCACGATAGTGTTCATCCGTGGATCTCGACACTATCAGCCCATAGTGCCCGCCCACGGAAAATAAGCGGATGGATAGTGCCCGTCCGCAGAAAATATCTGGATTGATAGTACTCATCTGTGAAAAGTTTTGAATAGTTTGACGGCCACAAAGTTGGGCAGATCGGAAAAACAGAGACTTTTCAATTCTGACAGGTATAACAAATTATTTAGCCAATATACGGTTGCGAATTATTGACATTTGTGACAAGCTGTAGGCGCGAAAGAAAATTTAGTGGTGAACAATAAAAACAATAGAGTGTTTATGTTTATGTCTCGGAACTATCGGTCTGATAGTTGCCCCTTGGAAATTTGATGTTCTTAAAACTAGCATATTTGTTTTAAGAACATCAAATTTCCGCGGGGCAACTATCAGCCGATAGTTCCTCGACAGATACACTCTATTGTTTAAATAGAGCCCAATTGCAACTATTTATGGCCTTATCATGTTGCAGAGCCCAAAAATTGCATTCTACTGCTTAAATAGAATTGCAGCTTAGAGAAATGCAAGGTAGTTGGACTTTTAACCCTGTTGTATCCAAATTATGTTTGTGATATAAAAGATTATGTTATTACTTGTAAAAGAATCAATTGAAAGAAAATTTTGTCTTTGTAAGACAGAAGTGGACCATATTTGTTCAATAGAGCACATGCATCCTGAATCGCATGTGGCAACTATCTGTCACAATTTTTAAATCATCTCAGATATTTTAAAAATGAAATGAGCAATAACATTTTACAAAGTAAAATATAGTGTTTGGCAATTTAATTATATTATATTTTTATTGTGTAATTTTCTACAATAAACAGACAATGCCCTCAGTTGGTGCTTGTTCTCACCAGTTTTGGATGTCATGTGTGCTTTATAACTGAACAAACCAAGGGAAAGTGATATGTGTTTGCTACATTGAGAACAAAAAACCACTACCTGTAAATGGCCCTCAACAGTCACAACAGCTTAAGAAAAATATATGCAATTTTTTTTTCATAATGAATAAATCACAAGGGCTTGAGCAAGGGGCATTGTTGCCATCTACCACTGTTAAGTTACAGAAGGTGCACCTTAACATCAGGTTTTAATCAGCACCAAAAAAAAAGGCAACTACACCACATTTTCAAATTTAAAAAAAGGTAAAGCAGAAGATACTACACTGTATGCATTTCATCAGGACATCCTAGTTCTGGAATCAACAATCCCCTACCCTACCCCTCCCACCAATGTTGCAGAGAATCCTTTTAAAAAAACTCTGCTTGGGCACTGAAAATGCACACTTAAATCCCAAAGTAAATTCTTAGAATTCATCAACAGTAGAATTTCTTATTTTTAATACATTTATTTCCCAGAAAGGAAATCACACTTGAAGGTGGATGCATTCTTGAGAGTTAAAAAGATTCTCAGGAATTGTATGTAGTTAACTACAATACATAAAAAAAAAAACCCAGATATTCCACAACTTAATAAATCATTACAATTACATTGATGAATCACCAAGAAATTTCAGTTATTTGTTTGTTAATCAAACCTTTATTGTACAACTCAGGAAATCTAAGAACTTACAAATCCAAAAATATTAAACACTTTCTCGCAATGAACGTGTGATATTCTTTATCTTTGTGGCCATGGACATGTCAATGCGTTTGTCACCAATTTCCACAATCATACCACCAATCACTGAAGGGTCGATCTATTTGGGGTAATAAATTAACATTAGCAGACCCCAAATCAACACAAAGAAGTTCCAAATGTAACAGTAATCTTTTCAGCTTCAGTTGGTAAGCTTAAAGTTGTGTTCTTGGATGAAAAACAGGATGCCTTAAGATTCTCTTTAGTCAAAAAGTCCCAAAGTAGGTAATGTTTCCAGAGTGATATAAGGGCACATATCAAAAGCTGTTCATAGTAATGCTAAATCACAAGACAACATTGACTAACTTCATATATCCTCTGGGTGCAATCTCCCTTTGCTCTTAAGTTCCCTTCCCCACCCCCCAGCTGCCATTCTTCTCTCACAAGCCTGCTCCTCAAATGTGACCAGAGAAAGGTAAGCCAACCAAGTGCTCAAAAGAAAGATTACAGCATGTGTGTACTAAAAATACAGTATGAAAGGTGGCCTTACAAGGATGAAAACATAGCAAGTGGCAGTTTACTTACATTAGTTTGAACCTTAAGAGTTTCATTCTTTTGTACAAAACCCTTCAATGCTGCTTGCAACTCTTTTATTTGAGAAGAATCCAATTCCTGAGTAAAACAAAGCAATAAACACATGTACACATTCATAAACATTCTTCAAATGACAATGTAGTCAGAGGTTCTATCAATTAACTATTGAACAGCATTTAACTTAAGCATGGAAGACATTTGGGAATTCCTTCACTAGTATAAATGTACATTCAAGTAATGTACAGTCCTTACAGGTAGGATTGAAAAGATAAAGTCATCAATCAAATACCACTTCATGAGTGTTAGTTCTGTATCACTCCATGTACAGATGCACACCACTATGGCAGGGGTTTCATTAATGTTTTCAGCAGGAGGGTGTTATAGTATGGAGATGATCTGTATTGACTGTCCGTTTGTTGTGAGCCCGCGTAGTATGCAGCGGTAATGTTACCATGTGTTCTTATCAATATAATCTTGCTGTTGACTCGCCATCTTGTGCGTGTACACTCTTCTGAAACCCCCAAAACATAATATATCTGGCGGTGAAGACGGGATCATGCCAAACTTAGGCAAAATAGAAGAGTTCGATCCAACCTCCACCAATATCAATCGTTACTTGGAGCGTTTGGAGCAATATTTTATCGCGAACGGCGTTCCAGCGGATACAGGCGAACGATTGAAACGCAGAGCATCCCTGATCTCTGTCATCGGTTCCAAAGCTTACGACGTCCTTTCTGACCTGTGCTCAGCAGAAGCTCCTTCGTAGAAAACTTACTCTGATCTCGCAACCATTCTCAAGGACCACTTTGCTCTGAAGAAACTTCTTATCGCAGAACGATACCAGTTTCACAACTGCATTCAACTCAAACACCTTGCTTCTACCTGCAACTTCGGCACACATCTAAATGAAGTTCTATGTGATCGCTTGGTCTGTGGACCTCGCAACAAAAAAATACAGAAAAAGTTGTCGACCAAAGAACACAACTTTGACGAAGCTCTCAAAAAGGCGCTCGGTGCTGAGGCTGCCGAGACAGATGTCGCTGCACTCTCTCGAGAAGACGCCACTCCTGTAAACAAGCTCGATTCTGTTGGCCGTCAGACATATCATCCGCGCAGAACACGCAGGCCTCCATGTGAGGGCCGAGACAAAAAGCCACTTAACCAGAAACAAAACAACAGCACTTCTGAATGTCTTAGTTGCGGCAAAACAGGCCACGCACGTTCCCAGTGCAAATACAGGAACTATACCTGCCATTCCTGTGGGCGATCGTGTCATATCACAGATGTATTCAAGTCTAAATCTCAGAAGATCCACACGGTTGAAGAGCCAGAAGCGTCACAACTCGACCCCCCTTCAAATCCATTTTCTCTCTCGATCTTCAGCATGAATGCACAGAACAATGGCATAGAAGTACCCGTTGAATTGAACGGAACCCAAATCTTAATGGAATTGGACACCGGCGCTGGTGTTTCAATTATCTCCCAGGAGACTTACAACAGGCATTTCAAGGAGACCCCACTCCAACCCTCTGATACACTTCTGCACACCTACACAGGGGACCCAGTCCAAGTCTCTGGTCAGTTCTTAGTACAACTCAAGTATCAAAATCAGCGTGTCACTGTGCCACTCCTTGTAGTTAAAGGCTCTGGACCATCATTCTTTGGAAGAAATTGGCTCTCTTGTGTCAAACTGGATTGGAAGAAAATATGTAGCATCCATGTCTCAGACCCAGGCCTCACATCGGAGGTCAAGTCACAATTGCACAACACAGTCCGGTGTCACTCTAATGTCTTCAACCCTGGCCTTGGTACTATTCAGGGAATCACAGCTAAATTGGAGATGAAGCCAGATGCCCAGCCAAAGTTCTGCAAGGCCCGCCCAGTACCTTATGTTCTCCAGGAAGCAGTAGATGCAGAGTACCACCGACTAGAATCCGAAGGTATTGTGGAAAAGGTCGAATTCAGTGAATGGGCAACACCCATGGTTCATATTCCCAAGGTGGATGGCGCCACATGGTCATATGGAGACTTTGCTGTTACGGTCAACCCCCAACTCAATGTCCCTCAGTATCCAATTCCCCTGCCTGAGGATGTATTTGTCAACTTGCAAGGCGGAAAACGATTCACCAAGCTTGATTTAAAGAATGCTTATCAGCAACTCCCAACAACTCGGTACAAAAGGCTACCGTTTGGTATTGCCTCATCCCCAGCAATTTTTCAGCGGACCATGGACATCATTCTTCAAGGTCTTGAGCATGTCGCAGCCATTCAAGATGACATTCTGATCACGGGCAAGGATGATGAACAGCATATCCAGAATCTGAACACTGTTCTCAGTCGCTTAGACAGTTACGGCTTGCGACTCCAGCTCAACAAGTGCAAGTTCATGCAGCGGTCAGTAACCTATATGGGCTGCGTCATTTCTGCTGAA